GGGCGCCCCGGGTGGGAGCGTCCTCGAGCCGGAAGGGAACGTGGCGCGCGGCAGCCGAGCTAGCCCGGTCCGGGCCCACTGCGGGGCCGAGCAGTCGTGCAAGAATAATAATAATAGTAATAGCCGCTTACCGTATCCCAGGCATTGTGTTAATTACTTTACATTGGTACATTTAATTTTCATAACAGCCCCATGAGATAGGTACGATAGTTATTCCTGTTTTACAGATGAGGAAACTGAGGCACAGAGAGGCGGTCATTTGCCCAAGGCCACACAGCTGGTAAGTGGCAGTGTGATTAAAATCAGGCAGTCTGATTCCAGAAACCCCTTTAACCTCTGGGCCATACTGAAGGAATGAGGAATGGTGGCTTTGTGGGCCCTGGCTCTTAACTAAGGTGAGAGCAGAGAATGGAAGGATTGTCTTGAGACTCACCTCTACCCAGTCGGGACCCTCATGGGTTTGGCGCTATCGTCCAGCCCCTGCATCCTCCTGACATACATGTGCACATAGATGCACACATGGTGGCACCATGGCCCACTCTGGGTCCTCCCCATTTGTGGCACTCTGTTGGAATTGCCTGTGGACATGTCTGCCTCCTGTTCTAGAAAGTGAACTCCTTGAAGACGGACTTGTCATCTCTTGTTTACCGTTTGTGTCTCGAGCACCTACCACCACCATGTGCTGAGCACTCAATAAATACTTGTGAAGTAATGAGGAAAGCGTTCGTAGCCAGGTCCAGTGCTAGGCCTTGGCCTGCTCACAGTGGTGAGCAGACATTGGCTCTCCTGCTCTTGCAGGTCTTGAGGCATTGGAATCGGACGGTAAGGGATGATCTTCACTGCAGCATATTAATGCAGGCTTTGTGTAGACTCTCTAGAAGCAGAGTCTTGAAATGCTTTCCAAGGAGAGCAATTCCCGTGTCACCCTGGTGGAGATTGCTCTCTCGTCCTCCACACCTTTGGTTTCCTCTATTTTACTCCTGTTGGGCAGGTCTGCCTTGGCATTGAGTTGGTTAGATAGGCCTGGCCCTCTGCTTTGTAAGCTCCTGGAGGGCTGGGCCCCTGTGTAAATGTCCCTGTTGAAGTAAGCATTCGGGAGACACTTGCTGGATTGTGGCATTGTGAGACAGTGGCCGGGAAGTGGTAAATGGTGCAGGCTGATTGGCTTGCTGAGCAGAGTGGTTGCCTGGGTCAGGCAGAGCAGGAGACTGCCAGCTTTCCTCCCTCCTGTGTGTGATGGAGCCCAAGGGACTTGGGTTAGACGGAAGGCGAGCTTTACTAGCCCCAGCATGTGTTCTTCCAGGTGGCAGTGGCCTCTTTTAAAGAAAGAATAGTTAGCTTTAAACATGCAACATCTTGATGCAAGGCTTGGGAATGGCAGGTATGTCCACACAAGGCCCCTTCCACCTTCATGATGATCAGGATATCCCTGTTCACAAGATGTCTGAGTGTCCAGGTGAGGCGCGGGGCTTGCTGACCTGGCTTCCACTGTTCCACGTCTGGTGAGAGCAGCTCAGACACCTGTGGCGGCTATGCCCAGGGGTGTGAAGATGCATGAGACGTGGTGCCCACACTCGTGCTTGCAGTCCAGATTGGGAGAAGGGGCATATGCCACTAGGACAGTGTATAAGGCACTCTTGTGTCGGTGTGGACCTGTGTTGGGAACCTAGAGCAGGTAGCAGAGAACTTCAGAGGCTTTAAAGGATGTAGGAGTTTGTGAGGCAGCAAAGAGGACAGACATTCCAGGAGGACAGGTGTTTATTTTATTATTTATTTATTTATTTTATTATTTTTTTTAAAAGATGACCGGTAAGGGGATCTTAACCCTTGACTTGGTGTTGTCAGCACCACGCTCACCCAGTGAGCAAGCGGCCATCCCTATATGGGATCCGAACCCGTGGCCTTGGTGTTATCAGCACTGCACTCTCCCGAGTGAGCCACGGGCCGGCCCAAGGACACATGTTTAAATACATGTGCATAAGGTGTTCAAAAAGCCCTTCATGAGTTACATAGAATTGGAACCATAAGTCTGTGTTGAGGGGTGGTAGAGCAGCCTAATTTGATTAGGCAGTCAGTTGGGGCTCATGGGAAGAGCCAGGGATTTGCTGCTTGCAAGAGTGGTGCTTGCAAGAGACTGCTGGGGCCAGTTGGCAGAGCACTTGATAGAATGTCATCCTGAAGAGTTTCACCTTTGCTCCCCAGGCAGTGTGTTACCGTAAAAGGTCTTTTTTGTTTTGTTTTGTTTTGTTTTAAAAGATGACTGGCAAGGGGATCTTAACCCTTGACTTGGTGTTGTCAGCACCACGCTCTCCCAAGTGAGCTAACCGGCCATCCCTATATAGGGATCCAAACCCATGGCCTTGATGTTATCAACACCACACTCTCCCAAGTGAGCCACGGGCCAGCCCTCATAAAAGGTCTTTTAAGAAGAAAAGAGCTTTTGAAGAAAACTTGATGTGTTTAAAAGAACCCATCCCTGGGCCGGCCCGTGGGTCACTCGGGAGAGTGCGGTGCTGATAACACCGAGGCCCCGGGTTCAGATCCCATATAGGGATGGCCGGTTCATTCACTGGCTGAGTGTGGTGCTGACAACACCAAGTCAAGGGTTAAGATCCCCTTACCAGTCGTCTTTAAAAAAAAAAAGATCTGAAATTCTGCCTAGCCCCTGATGACACCAGACATTTAACACTTTCAGGTCAAGTGACAGCAAAAGGCAAACT